TTCTGATAGGAATTTTTTTTTTGTTCCTTAAAAAAAAAAAAAAAAAAAAGGAAGAAGGGCAATTGCTCCTCCAGCAGGGAATAAGCACCAAGCCTGGAAGTACTACAGTACCAGGCCAACACTCAGAGAGGCCAAAGCAAGTCCTGACAACCTGGTGCTAAAAATGCTGATGGAAACCTACCACTTTTTTTTTTTTAATTTTGTGTCTCGGGCCAAATCAGTTCCGAATTTTATCAACTGAGCAAAGTTCAATTGTTCAATTCTATGTAGAGCTATCCTGGCAAGTATCCTACCACCCAAACTCTTCACTCTGGGGCTTCAGATACTCCCAACTCCATGGCAAGCATCCTACATGCAAGCCCCAAGTATGGAGGCCTTAGAGTTCAGATGCCCCCTAATATCACTTGTCCCTAGTAAAAATGCTGAACGAACAAGCTAGGGGGAAAGCCCAAGAGCAATCCCTCATCACCATAATTTATGTAACTGAGATTAGTGCAGCCCATCTGAATAAGATATATGATAGTACTCATTGCACTCATACCCCTTCAGTGCTGACTCTTTTTAAAGTCACGGTGAACCACTGCATTGAATACATTTTGGCTTCCTCTTCACTCCCACAACTGAGCACTTTTTCCATTTCCAGTTATTCCTTTTTCTTCACCTGCCTTAGATATCTGGAAAATAGCACCAAACAGGGCCCCGACCAGTTCACCCAGAATCCCTTTGTCACCTGCTCTCTCAGCCTGGCGCACATGATTCATGTGGCTGAGCCTTCAATGAGGTGATGCCGAATCGGGTTGTTCTGTGCCTCATCTGCATATACATTTTTGGAGAATCCCAGGACTTGTCACAAGAACACCTGGTTCCAGTCATGGGTGGGGGCGTTAATTAACACATAGATCCTTTGTGGGGGTGGGGGTATCTGGACTACACACACACATACGGAGCAGTGCTAAGCTTTGGGGCCACTGTGGCTTGAAATGCTGTTGACTCTGGTGGGGCCCAGCCCAATGAACTATACAGTAAATAATGAGCCTTTTATCTTTGGACTAATATCATGCATAGTTTATACTATATAGAAGTAGGTACAAAAGTGCTACTTAGAAGCATTTGAATGGGGTACCTGTGCTAAAACTTGCACTGGTTTTCAAAAATGGTAAAATGAATCAATTCTGAATGAACTAAGTCTATGGGTACCTGTAATAACTTGCCTATATGATAAACTGTGTTTATTTCAAGGTCATTGCTTTCAAATTTACCCTTACCTACGTGTGCTCAGGGAGAGCAGGGTCTGACAGTAAGGAGGGAGGGAAGGAACTGCAGGTAGAAGGAGATGGAAGGGGCAAAGGGAAAGAGGGCTACCTGACCCCCCCAGATCTATTTTCCCTGCTGTAACAGTGGTAGGGGGATAAATTCAAGGCAAACCTCCAATAATTAGATTCTCTACCAAGAAAATTACAACAAATTTATACATTTTCCATATATAGAATTAAGTATCTTATATACAGGGTTATCATATATTAAAGCAAATATAGCACTGTTATTCTAATATTTATCTGTGTATGATGTGCTGACACTTTTCCATATAATTTTTCCATTTCAGTTGCTAGCCAAAATCTATAAAATGCCCTTGAAGCCAATTTTCCTCAGTGGCCGGCTGGCTAACTTGCCCCGAAGGGTCCAGGAGCGATCAGCCAGCAGTGAGGATGGCATTGAGTGTGTCATTTCTGACTTTGATGATGACACTGGTAGGTGCTGATCAATATAGAGGTGTTGTGCAATTGTGGGGAGATAAAGGACTTTATCAACAGCTATTTTCATATAAAGTTGTGAATTTTGTTGACTGCTGCAAATGGTTTAGAAAAGCATTCAGAAAAGATTTATTGTTTTGTGTGTCATTTGCATAATTACATACGCTAGAAATTAAGCTTCATAGTAGGGTTTCCTCTCCTGGTGAGGAGAAAAAACACTTCACTAAACTTACCAATATACAACTATACACTTCAGCTCCATACACTCAGCCATGCACTGCATACAACTTTCTGAAATCTTTTCAGGACCCAGTAACGCCCCACGTTAAACAGGCAAGTAAATGCAACTCGTGTTATAGACAAAACTTCAGTGTTCTCAATTAGAAGCTGGATCTTCTTTTCCCCAGAGAAAAAGATTCACTTCGGAATAGCCAATAGCTCACAAGTTAAGGCATTTATGTAGGATTTAGAAGCCCCAGGTTCAAGTGCCTGTTCCAGATCAGGCTTGAGAGTTGAATTTAAGACTTCCACATCCCCACAGCAGTGTAGCTGCTAGGTGTACTGGGGATGGGGGCAGCTATGTCTGTGGCTCACTCTCTATCTTGCTCTGTCATTTTAAGAAGAAATTCTATCCTGGATCTGAGAAATATTCCTGACTGAAGATTCATTAAGACTGGGAAGATTAAGTCCAATGGTCACAAACTCTTGGAAGACAGTTTTAGGCTGGACATAAGGAAAAATG